AATTTGCATATTATCTACCCAGACAGCACCAAGTCTAAAATTGACGCATAAGATAGCATTAAGAAATCTTTAAGACAGCTATCTTATGATATGATATCAAAAAGACATCTTATAAAGATATCTTACGCGCCAATTTTGGACTTGGTGTTGTTTGGGTATATAAATAAAATATGTACACAAATAAAATAATATTTGCATAAATATTATTTTATTTGTACATATTTTATTTACATAGATTATATGCAAATATTTAAATAAATCATTCGATAATTTATTACACATTTTATTTATTATATAGATTTATATAGATTATATGCAAATATTTAAATAAATCATTCGATTATTTGTTACAGATGCATAATGTGAAATATATATTGCGTACACGAAACGATAATTGGAAGATAATGTTAGGCAAGAATTATTGCTATTCTTATTGTTCTTTTACATATAATATACATATACAGAGAAACAATGATAATACGAATCGGTTCTTGCTGATATCTCCCAATAATCGCATTCGTTCAACGCATTAGTGTTTGTGTCTACATGGATGTTACTACATATGCGATGTAAGAGAGACAAGGACAGAATGATAGTCTCTCCTTGTCAAGCTGTTAGCTGTCAGTATGTTACCACGGAAATTTCCCCTCCCTTATGAATTTAGTGAGAATCTTATCGTCCAGATATTTCATAAAATAAGTGACATAACTTTGGTTTTTTTTTTTTTAATATATTCTTGATATAATAAAGTAGTCCGCCAAAGAGTCGGATTTTGCATTTTTGCTCTGAAAAATTTATAATAAATAAAATACGGACTCCTGGCTAACCCAACCTTCCACCCGTTACTAGCTGCGCATTCCCCCAAGTTATATTATAATTTTATTTTCATCTTTTTTTCAATAAATAACTCTTTGGCGGACTGCATTTGAGCTTACTGATTAAGAATATCATAAATTTAATAAGATTCATTCAGTAGTTTCGCTAATATCTGGAATATAAGAATCTCTAATTCCCGGCCGGCCGATAGGCGTCTCTACCATGTCGCCTGCCGACCCTTAAAATTTATCAATTTTTATAATTCATTCATCAATTGTGTGATTAAGATATTTATTCAGACGATTCAATTATTTTAACTATTCCATAAATAGATTACTTACTCATTTTCAAACACGTTGATTATAGGGTTTACACATTGATTAATAGGTTTGCACACATTGATTATATTTTGCATTTATCGTTTATATCGTTAGGGTTGTAAGAGATGGCGACGACTAGTAATTTATAGAATATGCGCTTGTTGCGTTGGATTGGTTGCGTTGCTAGTCCCTAGACTAGTTACAACTAAAAGACTCCCTATGCCGGTATTACGAGGGTCACTATTTATATTTCGGGAATAGGAACAAAAACAAATAGTTAAGCTGCGAATATATTTTTATTGGTTTTCAAAGTACTCGCCACGATGATCGATACACTTTGTATGCGCTTAAACCAATTTTCAAAGCATTTATTCCATTCCGAATGAGGTATCTCCAAAACATGATTTTTGAACGCTTCAATAGCTTCTTCGGGCGATGAAAATCGTTGACCACGCAGTTATTCTTCACGGATGGGAACAAAAAGAAATCATTGGGTGCCAACAGGGCTGTACGGCGGATGACCATCAATTCGATGTTTTGAGTGCTCAAATAGTCTCTTGTTTGAGCCGATGTGTGAAAGCTCGCATTGTCATGATGAAGAACATCCGACGTCTCTTGTTTGTTTTCCTTATTTCACCGAAGATTTCTGGCAAAACAGATGGTTGTGTACCACTCAGAATTACTGTTCTACGATCCTCTAGAGGCACTGTTGCAATATGACCAGTTTTTTCCCGAAGAAACAGGCCACCATTTTCTTTGAAGTGCTTCGTGCGCGAACAACTTTTGTTGGATTTGGTTCATCTTGGAACACCCATACAGTCGACTGCTGCTTACTTTCGGGCTCATACGAATTATCCATGATTCGTCACCTGTCACGATTTTATAAACGTCTTTTGAAGCACTGCGATTGTATTTTCTTAAGCATTTCTTTGCAACCAATCGACACGAGCCTTTTTTGAGCGATTGTCAAATTATGTGGGATCCAACGCGAACATAACTTTCGCACAGCTAAGTGTTCATGTAAAATCGCATATATGCTGGTGGAACTAATGCTTAGGGATGCCTCAATCTCACAATGGTTACATGACGATCTTAAGGGTCGGCAGGCGACATGGTAGAGACGCCTATCGGCCGGCCGGGAATTAGAGATTCTTATATTCCAGATATTAGCGAAACTACTGAATGAATCTTATTAAATTTATGATATTCTTAATCAGTAAGCTCAAATGCAGTCCGCCAAAGAGTTATTTATTGAAAAAAAGATGAAAATAAAATTTATAATATAACTTGGGGGAATGCGCAGCTAGTAACGGGTAAGGTTGGGTTAGCCAGGAGTCCGTATTTTATTTATTATAAATTTTTCAGAGCAAAAATGCAAAATCCGACTCTTTGGCGGACTACTTTATTATATCAAGAATATATAAAAAAAAAACCAAAGTTATGTCACTTATTTTATGAAATCTGGACGATAAGATTCTCACTAAATTCATAAGGAGCAGGGGAAATTTCCGTGGTAACATACTGACAGCTAACAGCTTGACAAGGAGAGACTATCATTCTGTCCTTGTCTCTCTTACATCGCATATGTAGTAACATCCATGTAGACACAAACACTAATGCGTTGAACGAATGCGATTATTGGGAGATATCAGCAAGAACCGATTTTCGTATTATCATTGTTTCTCTGTATATGTATATTATATGTAAAAGAACAATAAGAATAGCAATAATTCTTGCCTAACATTATCTTCCAATTATCGTTTCGTGTACGCAATATATATTTCACATTATGCATCTGTAACAAATAATCGAATGATTTATTTAAATATTTGCATATAATCTATATAAATCTATATAATAAATAAAATGTGTAATAAATTATCGAATGATTTATTTAAATATTTGCATATAATCTATGTAAATAAAATATGTACAAATAAAATAATATTTATGCAAATATTATTTTATTTGTGTACATATTTTATTTATATACCCAAACAACACCAAGTCCAAAATTGGCGCGTAAGATATCTTTATAAGATGTCTTTTTGATATCATATCATAAGATAGCTGTCTTAAAGATTTCTTAATGCTATCTTATGCGTCAATTTTAGACTTGGTGCTGTCTGGGTAGATAATATGCAAATTAATATGTTTTATATATGCACACACATAGATATGACAATAGCGTTATCGTGATTTTTTCGATTATTAAAGTTGTATTGTATAATCTCTCTCTTATCTCTTTCTCTCTGCTACATAAATACTATTATAATGTAAAAGAACTTACGAGTAACGTATGATGGCTCAATGCAATAATATTCAATCACGTAAAAAACTTGAGTTCAAATATATCAATATCAATTTTTTACAATATATTAGAATATAGAAAATTATAGAAATATAAGGCGATAAACTTGAAAATTTTTAAATATTGAAAATATTTTAATCATTTTACATTACATACACTATATATATATATATATATCTATATATATATATATATATATTATATATATATAAATGCAAAATAAGTCCGTAAATAAATTTATCAAGTAATAAATCCGTTGCATGCTCGCAGCTACATATGCACACACAAATAGCTGGTATGTTGATTTTTATTAAAAATTTATTTTCTGTATTATTTTGCATTTATATAGTGTGTATGTGGGTGTGTGTGTGTGTGTGTGTGTGTGTGTGTGTGTGCGCGCGCGCGCGCGCGCGTGTAGTAAAAATATTTTCAATATATTTATAAAATTTTTATTGCCGAAATATTTTTTTATCATTTCTCTGTATTCCAATATATTATTAAAAAATTGATATTGATATATTTGAACTCTAATAATTTACTGGGTGATACATACTGAACATCCTTTGCATTGATCAATATTACTCGACATAAGTTCTTTTATGTTATAAGTATTTATGGAGCAAATTATACAATAACATCAATAATAGAAAGAAATCAAGAATAACCAACGCATATTCGTCAATCTATGATTGCTATACAAGCTAATAATAATTTATATTCGTTCTCTTATTCTTGTCTCTCGAAAAAGTATAAGCAATAAATTATCAAACCTAACAAGTACCCGTGTCTAACATTGTAGACTAATTTACTTTCAATTATGCTACTGTTATTATTTATCATTAGACAATTATAAAACATATATATATATAGCACTACAAATTATATATGTATATGTTTTATAATTTATTTTATATTTTATTATTTGACAAGTTAAATCTCTCCGAATCATAATTTGCGCTTACATCTTAAAGACGAAATGCTGTAACTCTCTGATATTCCAATCTGTATTTTTGAAAAGGACCACATCCCGTATGGTCGAAATGTTAAAATAAATATATATACAACTTTAATTTGAGGCCAGTGTAGTCAGACCAAATCTATAACCTCTGTTTTATAATTGTCTAATGATAAATAATAACAGTAGCATATATAATTGAGAGTAAATTAGTATATTTTATATATATATATATTTATATATAAATAATATATCCACATATGTGCATAAGCATATATAAAATTTACAAAATGGGTGCTTATTAGTCTTGCTACGTTACTGCTTTCTGCTACGGAAGGCCAGAAAGCATTTTTAGGCGGCATCTCACGTATACCGGCACGGTAGAGGAACAAGGAGAACACGTGATTATCGGTCCTTGTCTCTCTTACGTGCGTCCGCGTGAGCGATGCAGTGGTGTATGTACGTGTACAGACATACACCACTACATAAAACCCGAGAATTGATTTCTCGGCGTTGGCAACACTGAAACCGGAGTTTCGCGTTGTCACCGCACGAGGTCTCCAATATCAATTCGGAGTTTGCCTGGGTGTACTGCCGACCCTTAAAGCAATTTATTTTTTGACATTTTCTTCGAAATATAAAAATTTCGTTAATTTAGTATAATCTATTATACGATACAATTATGAAGAGAGTAATTATTTTCGTCAATGGAACTGATGTTAATGGCAAGGTAATATATTTTGTTTATAGTTATAATTATTATATTTTTGTTTTCCATTTCTTTCTCCCTTTCCTTTTCTGTTTATAATATTTTATATTTTATGTATATTTTATATATTTTTTTTATATATTGAATATTTAATATAATATTTTTGTCTCAATTTAAAAAATTATCTCTTGTCTAATAAGTTTGATTTATTGTGCATATACTTTAAAAATTATTGAATTTAGTAACAATAATAGATGTATATTGTATTTTTCATTATGTGGAATTTATTTATATATAGGTATTAGTGGTGACTCACTCATTGGATGAATTATTATCAGCGGCTAGTACAAAATTGATATAACTGCAAAAAAAATTTTTACATCACAAGGTGGAGAAATTGATGATATTAAATTAATTAGGTAAGATGTTTGTTTATATTTCATGATTTTTTATCAAAATTTTATATATAATTTAATTGTGTGCAATATTTCTTTATAACAGATATATTCTTTTTTTATAAATACTTAATATGATAATAAATTATTAAATAATAAAAGCAACTTTTTTTATAGAGATGATGACATTCTGTATGTTTCAAATGGAGAAAATTTTATACACATAAATAAAGTGTGTAGTTATGATCGAGTAAATACAAATTCAGAATGGATTACACTGAATATTGGAGGAAAATATTTTACCACAACTAGAAACACTTTGACAAAGAAAGAGCCTATGAGTATGTTAGCAAGGTATTGTATTTTATCTATTTCTAATTATTAGCTTAATTATTATAATATATTTTTTATTCTAAATATTTAAAAAACTAAGCATTTTCTTGTGTGTGCCTATAATAATATACAATTATATGGTAATTGAAATTAAGTTGATAAGAAAATTGACTTGAAAATTCAAAGTCAAGTTTGCAATATGTATAATACATTTATTGAAGAATAAAATGTGCATTATTTAAGAAATAACATCACAGAATAAGTATTTTAATGAGTATACTTTATTTTGATATTTTTAATAAAAATATCTTATTGATTATATTATACATATTTTAAAAGTATAAGATAAGTTGTACATTTTAACATTTTACAGTTAAATATACAATATTTTTTATATACAAAAATATTTCAACAATAAAACGAATGTTTTACAGTTGTATTAAAATACATATAATAATATAATAATATCATGCTTTTATATATAGAATGTTTACAGAAACTACAGATGCGGAACATGCAATACAGCCAAGTAGACAAGATCATAATGGAGCATATTTAATTGACAGAAGTCCTGCATATTTTGAACCATTATTAAATTATTTGAGGCATGGTCAAATAATACTTGATTCAAATGTTAATATAGCTGGTATATATTCTTTTTAATTTAATACTATACACACCCACACACACACACACACACACACACACACACATATATATATATATATATATATATATGTATAATAGATATAATATAATATTTATTAATGAAAACAAAATAATTATCTTATTCAGGAGTATTGGCAGAAGCTTGTTTTTATGGTATTGAAGGTGCTATTCGAATCCTTACTGCAATGGCAGAAAAGGAAGAATTGCAGAAAGAGGGTCTTATATCTCTAACTCGCAAAGATGTACTTAAAGCCATCATGTCAACACCAACTAATGCAGAACTTAGATTCCAGGGAGTTGATTTTGTAAGAGCTGATCTTTCAAAACTAGATCTTAGGAATATAACTTCAAGGTACAATTTATTTTATGCATTGTAAAAGTTAAATTAATTAATGTAATTGAAACAATATGTTAGCAGAAAATCATGTCTATATTTATGTTTTACAGTATGCTATCATGCACCATTGTAGTCTGGCAGGTGCTAATTTATCAGGATGTGTTGTTTCGAGCGTGCTGATTTATCTCATGCTAATTTGCAAGGTGCACAACTTGTATGCGTTAAAATGTCATGTGCAAATTTGGCCGCAGCTAATCTGCATTCATGCAATTTTGAAGATCCTGGTGGTCTACCGGCAAATATGGAAGGTGTAAATTTGAAAGGTGCTAATCTTGAAGGTAGTAATATGGCAGCTGTCAACCTCCGAGTAGCCACATTAAAAAATGCTATTCTTAAGAACTGCGTTTTGAGGTCTGCTGTTTTGGCTGGTGCTGATTTGGAGGTACAATAATATTATGTATATATTACGTATACATATATCACATATATATTTTATTGCTAATAGTATATTTTTATCTTTACTACTCTACTAATATGTATATTTATATATTTACATGTTTACATGTTTACATTATTTTTTTAGTGCTGTGACTTATCTGGCTCTGACTTACAGGATGCAAATCTGCGTGGTGCAAATTTGAAGGACACTGCTTTTGAGTTAATGTTAACGCCACTGCATATGTCTCAAACAATACGATAACAATGAATGTTATATTGCATATTTTTGCAAATTGAATTTTATAATAATGTGTGTATGTATGTGTGTACGCGCGTGTATATGGGTGATATTATTTGATATAATCTACAATAACTTAATTAGTATAATAATATAGTATGCTGTCTTCTAAGCTGGGCAATAGAGCCAAGGAAACGAAACGAAAAATTAATTAAACGGAACTGTATCTCAATTTGAGATCCCAAAGTTCCACATATAAATTAATTTCGAAACTTACATATGGAGAAATAAGCGAGAAAAATATAGGTCCGAAAAGTCGCTGAAGCGGGAATCGAACCCGCGTCTTTCACTTTCCGGGCGACTGCTCTTACCAACTAAGCTATTCAGACCCTTTCGATCCTATATTTTTCATTTGCCTTTTTAGTAGATGTTAGTAAATACCGCCCGATTAGCCCAAGGCGTGAATAAACTCAGAAATAAATATTTTTATCGGCTCTCAATATAAATAAATAAGTAGCGTCTTCTACTGGCAATAGAGCCAAGAAACGAAACGAAAATTAATTAAATGTTTCCTTGGCTCTATGCCCAGCTTAGAAGACAGCATACTTATATTATTTATATTGAAGCCGATAAAAATATTTATTTCTGAGTTTATTCACGCCTTGGGCTAATCACGGCGGTATTTACTAACATCTACTAAAAAGGCAAATGAAAAATATAGGATCGAAAGGGTCTGAATAGCTTAGTTGGTAAGAGCAGTCGCCCGGAAAGTGAAAGACGCGGGTTCGATTCCCGCTTCAGCGACTTTTCGGACCTATATTTTCTCGCTTATTTCTCCATATGTAAGTTTCGAAATTAATTTATATGTGGAACTTTGGGATCTCAAATTGAGATACAGTTCCGTTTAATTAATTTTTCGTTTCGTTTCCTTGGCTCTATTGCCCAGCTTAGAAGACAGCATACTTATATTATTTATATTGAGAGCCGATAAAAATATTTATTTCTGAGTTTATTCACGCCTTGGGCTAATCACGGCGGTATTTACTAACATCTACTAAAAAGGCAAATGAAAATATAGGATCGAAAGGGTCTGAATAGCTTAGTTGGTAAGAGCAGTCGCCCGGAAAGTGAAAGACGCGGGTTCGATTCCCGCTTCAGCGACTTTTCGGACCTATATTTTTCTCGCTTATTTCTCCATATGTAAGTTTCGAAATTAATTTATATGTGGAACTTTGGGATCTCAAATTGAGATACAGTTCCGTTTAATTAATTTTTCGTTTCGTTTCCTTGGCTCTATTGCCCAGCTTAGAAGACAGCATACTTATATTATTTATATTGAGAGCCGATAAAAATATTTATTTCTGAGTTAAATTAGTAATACATGAAATATCATTTTTTGTATCATAAAACATACAAATAAGTAATTATTTCTAGTATGAGTATTGTTAATTAATTTACAATAATTTTATATTATTATTTTATATTTATAATATTACTGTGTAATAATTCAGGTGTTAATTAATATGTAAAATCTGATGGTTTTTTAAGTGATTTATGTTAAGTTCATACATTTTAATTTTTTGCTATAACAAGAATTTCAGAATATTTATAATATATTTGTGTTATGTATATATATGTGTGCATTTTTTCGTATATTTTATAATCTGTGAATATTTATGTAAATTTTTATTATATATTTTTATTTATCTTTAATTGATAGCATTTTGTTTAAATTATTTATTCAAATAGTTTAAAAAAGTATCCAATTAATGCAAAATTTTAATTAATAAGAAAAGTTGAAATATTATTTGTAATAAAAATTGAATTTAAAGTTAGCCAACTTTATTACAAATTTTATTTCTAATATAATTTGTAACAGCTCTTTAAAAAATTAATATACATATAAAAAGCAATAAGAGCTAATTAAGTTCATTCATTAATATTTATTTGTGGAAAAAGATTATAACATAAAATATTAGACAGAAAGAAGTTCGAACGTTTATTGGTTGCCTTTTTCAACCTTCTTCAGCGCATCATTTTAAAATTAAAGATGAATAGAAATAAACAATCAATTATTCATAACTGTCAATATAATAAAACTATACAGAAACACAGTTATTCGCATAAAACTACGTCAAGCTATTTTTTTAAGAAACGAAATCAACGCATTTTTAAACCTGAGCATTTTTATATATTCTGTTCCTCTAATCGTCATTCTATGTAATTGTCGCGAAACAAATCTCTCGCTAATTGTTCGGTTACGAGGTCGGTTGCGAATCTCGATAACAGCAATTGTTAATATGTTTATAAAATCATTGTATACGAAAAATTAACATTGAAAGATAAGTAAATTAATAAAAATAGACTTACAATTAAATCGAGTAAGATATTATATTGTGACGTGAAGGCTTTCAGATGTTGATTGCTCGAGGTTACAATAACGAATGATTTTTATCTTTCAGAGAGACGACCACACAACGGTGAAAATAGTTAGTTGTTTATGTTTTTTAACTTTTATATCTTAGGTAGTCTATGTATTAACGTTTTCTGGTAGATGTCTGAACTTCCTTTCTCAACACCGTTTGAGTCAAAAACGAGGTACGATAATGAGGTTGGTGGATCGAGCCTTCTTATTATCAAATCCAGAATTTCACAAAGAAAATTTAGAGTTAGTAATCAAAATATTACTCGAAAATAACTATCCTCTGAAATTGATTTTTGACACCATGAACGAAAGACTAAAACATTTAATAGAACAACGGAATATTCTTATAAACAAGAATGACCAAAATTTAAAGGTCTCATATTTCTGCATCCCATTCTTACCGACACTCACTGAACAATATAGAAACATCATTAAAGATATGGATGTTAAACTCTCTTTTTATAGTCTTAATAAATTGAATAAATATCCCAATAAGCACAAGTACATCCTATGTACGTATAACGGATGTCCGGTCGGACATTGTGTACATCCATCGGATGTCCAGATTACCTGCAGCGGACGTACAAAGGACGTCCATTGTACGTCCGTTTGCAACTGGTCTGGACGTCCATAAGTCGTCCATTATTGGTCATTTATGGATTTTAAATGGATAAATTATGTATCTAACGGACGAATTTTGGATCTCATATAAACTATTAGGTCCTTGAATAAGTTCTCGCTGTTTCTTAAAAGATGGCGTAGCGGCACTCTGTGCATGGAATTTCGTACGGAAACGCATCAGCTAAGTAGTACTATATGTACCCTCAAATTCTAGTAGATACAGTTTACCACAGTGTCAACCACGTGTTTAATTACCTATTGCGAAAATGTCTACTTTTGTGCCAAATAAAGTGTTTTTGCGGGAATTTTATTGCACTGCTTTATTTAAAAGAAATCTGCAGCTGAAGCACACAGAATTCTTGTTGAAACATAGGTGACAATGCTCTGTCGAATACGACATGCAGAGACTGGTTTAGGGCGCTTTAAAAATAATGACTTTGACCTTGAAGATAAAGAACGTTCTGGAGCACCGACAAAGTTTGAAGACGAAGAATTGGAGATCATTGCTTGATCAAGATCGGCGACGGACAATACTTTGAGTAAAGTTATTGTAAGCCTTATATTTTAAATAAATGTTTTTTTTTTAACAAAAAAACAGCGAGAACTTATTCAAGGACCTAATAATTATGGATCTAATGGACGAATTTTGGATCTTTTATGAATAAATTTTAAATCTTTAATAAACATATTTTGGTTCTTTATTATACATGTATATCGTTGAAAATGACATTTAAAATTCATAAAGAAGAAATTTATAAGCAATAATAAATTTGACATGCAAAATTAATTATTTTTATACTAATCATAAAATATTGCAGAATATTTCTTATTTTCGCATTTTATTTATCCGAATTTTTATTTGTTCAATTTTTTCAATTAATTCATATCTAAATTTTTTTGTGTTGGGATAGTATCAGAAAGGTTAAACTGATCAAAATAATTATAACATATTTAACTGTAATAGCCACTTTTTTGCATGCGCTTTATAATTCTCTTAACTAAATTTAATAGCGAGATGAACAGCGAATCTTGCGTCGCATAGCGGCAAATAAAGGAACTATTACAAGATAATATTGCATAGTATATTTTGCAATGTCTCCATAAAATATTAAATTTATAATATTTGCACAATGTTGCTTCAATTTTATTATGATACAATGAAATAAATATTTATGCAATATTTTAGCAATATTTCGTGCTGTAAGAGAATTTGATGGACATCCTGTGGACGTCCAAATATTAGTCACTGATGGATGTCCGAAATCGGATGTACAATGGACGTTCATTTCATGTCCATGGACGTACATACGTAAAATGGATATAAAATGAACGTCCATAGGACGTCTTGTGCTATCTGGGATATTAAGTACATAAAGATCCTATTCCTAAGTGTTCAAATACTATGTAATATATAAGATAGACTGTAAAGATTGTAATGTGTCGCGGATTGAGAATATCGAGCGATAAAACCGAAGTATTAAGCTTTCGCGTTAATTCAATACAATTTCGGCACGGCAGCACCTCCTGAGTAAAGCGTCGTGTAGTCCCACCAAGGATCTCGCCGAACCAATCAATATCGCGCCTTGTATGCTCAAAACCAAGACACGAATCGATTGGCGTAGATAATCGATAACGCGCCGACGTGGAATTGGAATAAGGAGACTTCCGCCTCCTCTTTGGATTCCTTCTTCTTGCTCGAGATTTCGATCCGATAACAGGGACCCAGACGTGATTCAATCGGTTTAATCGACATTCGCGATACTAACAGTTTCGCAAATGAAATATCACATCGTTTGCTGACATTCTCGTTTGAGGAAGCCGAATCGATCGCGGAATTGCCGCACGATTTGTACATAACGAGTAACTTCTCTCGCCACGTGATTGTGAGTGCTTTCGACCGGCAGCAACCATTATGTATCCGCCTGTGTCGTCAATATTTCGCGCGGTGTCGTCAGATCCACAAGATTCACAATAAGGATCTCGTCGCATGCTCTTTCGTTAGTTGACGGGCCTTTGGTAATTCGTATGTTAATTGTTC